TCATCAGGAGGGATCCATCCCGGAAGGCAGACATCATGTTTGGTGGCGGAGAGGAGCAGCGAGGAGACCCTCGGTGAGACGGATCGGTCCAAGAGCCGCAGTAACGGACTTGAACATGCCGGCGGTCGAGACGACGGTGCAGACCAGACGATGTTTCATCCTGTCTGTAGGAGGTCGCCGTGAGTCCCAGTCGACACCATGGCAGCTCACGTGGTTTGAATCGGTCAAAAGGGGAGGAGGGAAGGAGCCGTGGACTGGGGAGCATGGCTGGGAGCTGGGGCCCACTCCTTCTACTGCTTCTTATACCCTCTGGTGACTGAACATGTGAACGTAACACCTTCTCTATCATTCCTCACATACCGTGCCCACAGAGACAGCACGTGCATGCATATAACCCACACAGCACTCACCAGAAACTTACACGCAAAGGGGTTCCAGTCTCCCAAAAAATAAAATAAAATAAATAACACAATGAGTGTTATTTGTGTAAAATATGATACTTTAAAAAATGTTTTAAATGGGTGGGAGGAGGAAAACAAAAGAAAACTTCATATCAAAATATTTCAAATTGCTTCTGTCCAGTGGCGTATGGGTGATTAATTTTATGCCACTATTCTTTCCTGTGGGAGCTCTGGTGGTGCAGTGCCTAAGGCACTTGACTGCTAACCGGAAGGCTGGCGGTTCAAACCCACCAGCCACTCCTCGGAAGGAAGGTTGGACAATCTACTTCCATAGTGATACTGCCTCGGACACCAAGGAGGGGTCGCTGTGAATTGAAATTGACAAGGGCAGTGGTTACGTTTTGTTTTGCGTTCTTTCCCGTATTTTCTAAATTCTCTACATGAGCCTATGGCAATGATGATGATTTTTATAAATAAACAAACCACCACGTGAGGGGATTGTTTACCAAGAAATTCCAGCTGCCCCCATGTAGATGGCAAGATGCTCAACTTCTCGCACAAGAAAAGAGCAGGTGGACGGCACTTGGCGGCCTGGCGCTGAGCACTTGCCGTGTGGCACTGGGGAGGCTGCCAGAGGGGCACTTCACGGCACAATGTCTCTGGGCAGAGATGTTAGTTTCACACTTTCCCCAAAATCTTTTGAACACGCACACCCTCTGAGCCGGCGGTTCTATTTCTGGAAACTTCCATCCCTACAAACGTACAAATATTTTCACACATACGTGCAAAGCCTGGGACAAGATTCACAGGAACGCTGTTTGTTCGAGGGACTCAATGCCTGTGGGGATGGCGCAGACCGTGCAACGTTTCATTCTGTCGCACACGGCTCACTGTCAGAGCTGACTCGCTGGCACCCGACAAAGCAACGTCATTTGTTCAAGGTCTTTGGGCGGCAAAAACGGTTTGTGCTTCTCCACTAACAGGAAGGTAGGCAGTTCACACCCACTCAGTGGTACCACGGAAGCAAGCCCTGGTGACCTCCTTCTGAAAGCTCACGGCCCAGGAAACGCTGTGGAGCTCAGTTCCCCTCTGCGACTGGGGGTCTCCACGAGCTGGAATCGGTTTGACAGCAACAGAGGTTTTTTTTTTTTT